CATAGAGACCATCTGAGCCAGCTGTGGATGGTTTGCTGTCTGCTTTGGATTTGCCGATTCCTACTTCGGATGCCATGCAACCCCTGCTTTACTATGTAAAAATCCTAATTCTGTAGTTCTCTAAAGTGGGTATAATCATTCACAACCTTTCTATAATCCTTAACAGATTTTTCTTTTTCTTTGGGAATCAGATTTCCAACGAAGCCCTTGCAAATATTAGGACCATAGCTGGGATTGGAAGGGAGAAAACTTTTATCGAGGCTTATGAGAAGCAGCTAGAAGTCCCCTACACAGCGGCTATTAAAAAAGCGAACGTTTATGGAGTTTGTTATGGCTTTGCCCAGTGTGTTTTGTTCATAGCCAATTCTGTCTCTTACCGATACGGAGGATTTTTAGTCGAAAAGGAAGGACTTCACTACAGCTACGTATTTAGGTAAGAAACCATCCCCCCCCTTACAGAGGTACCATTTCTTCAAACACCACAGAATCTATGAATTCTCATATGGTTACAGACAAATATCTGACTGGGAAAGCTAAACAACGTTCAAAAAGATGAAGAGGGGAGGATATAAAATATTGTGATCACTAAATAAAGAATGGTCCTCCATGTCAGGAGTTATTTTACAAAGATGTGCAAATAGAATAAAATAGCAGAGTTGGAAGGGACCTTGGAGGTCTTCTAGTCCAACCCCCTGCCTAAGCAGGAAACCCTATACCATTTCAGACAAATGGCTATCCAACATCTTCTTAAAGACTTCCAGTGTTGGGGCATTCACAACTTCTGATGGCAAGTTGTTCCACTGATTAATTGTTCTAACTGTCAGCAAATTTCTCCTTAGTTCTAGGTTGCTTCTCTCCTTGATTAGTTTCCACCCATTGCTTCTTGTCCTATCCTCAGGTGCCCTGGAGAATAGCTTGACTCCCTCTTCTTTGTGGCAGCCCCTGAGATACTAGAACTCTGCTATCATGTCTCCCCGGTCCTTCTTTTCATTAAACTAGACATACCCAGTTTATATGTTTTAGCCTCCAGTGCCCTAATCATCTTGGTTGCTCTTCTCTGCACTCTGAATACCACTCTCAACCAGAGGTGGTATTCAGCTGGTCCTCTCCGGTTCGAGTGAACCAGTAGCTGCGGCTGTGGGAGGCTCCACCCACCCGCCCCTACATAATGTGTGACCTTCTGCACGCAGAAGGTGGTACACATGGCAGAAGGCGGTGCGCATGCGCAGAAGGCAGTGCATGTGAGTGAAGTGAGTGAGTGCGTGCACCCGCTCACTCACATTTGCAAACCAGTAGGGAAAGTAAGTAAATCCCACCACTGGTCTCAACTTCGTTTTTACACTGTAGCGACCAAAATTGGATGCAGAAGTGTGGCCTTACCAATGCGCCAATGTGTAATTTAAAATCAAATTCTGAAGACTAGGCAAAAAAGGGAGGGGGGGGCTCTAATTTTTACTTATCAGCTTCTCAAATCCAATTTGCTGATCCTGGATGGCAACCCAACCAGAGGCTTTTCACCTGATTCAACAAGGCTTTTTTTGTATGTATGTATGTATGTATGTATGTATGTATGTATGTATGTATGTATGTATGTATGTATTTTGCGTCACAACCCCTGGTATGCCTCCCTTTATTTATTTATCAGCACAAATGCAACACGTATGTATGTATGTATGTATGTATGTATGTATGTATGTATGTATGTATGTATGTATGACACACACACACAAAGCGTCCTGCAAACTGAGACATGTCTTTTCCAATTTCAGGGTGATTTCCTCCATTGTTACTAGCGGAACCGCTTTGGGAAGAGCGTCCTCTTATACTCCAAATTATGCCAAGGCTAAAATAGCAGCCGCCCGTTTTTTTCAGCTGGTGGATCGGATTCCCCGAATCAGTGCATACAGTGACGCCGGAGAAAAATGGGTAAGAAAATAATTGCTGTTATTCGAATCACATAATTGTAGGATTGGAAAGCTGCAAAGGTCAGGCAGTCCCCTGCCGTCCTCGAGCAAACGAGATTACAGTGTGCTGTGTAATCTGTGCCAGGAAATGAAGGGGAAAAGAGCAAAGTGTCCTGGCATCTCTCTGGTGGGCACAATGTCAGCTCAGTGTTGAGCAAATAATACATATTTAGACAATAGTGAGGCACTCTGGTGCCAAGGTTGGATGGTATAATATTTGCTCTTAGACACTGTGATTATGGCTTGACTCTTTCAGTCCTGTTCTTTATATCCCAGAAGACATAATATCCATGGAGAACTGCTTGGTGTAATAGTTAAGGTGCTAGATCAGGAGCAGGAAGTGTCAGATTCTAATCCACCCTTGGGCACAGTAACCAGCTGCATGACTGTGGGGCAGACATCATGTCTCAAACTTGGATAGGGAAGTCAAAAAACACCTATTTGCACTGGAAACGTATGGTAGATGAGCCACAGTGGCACAATGGTTAGAGTGCAGTACTGCAGGCTACTTCTGCTGCCTGTCAGCTGCCTGTAATTTGGCGGTTTGAATCTCACCGGCTCAAGGTTGACTCAGCCTTCCATCCTTCCGAAGTGGGTAAAATGAGGACCCAAATTATTTGGGCCAATATGCTGACTCTGTAAACTGCTTAAAGAGGGCTTTAAAGCACTTTGAAGTGGTATATAAATCTAAGTGCTATTGCTATTACAATATTTGATAATAATAGCCATGGCAACTGATAATATTTTTTTTAATGAAAGTTTTGGATAATTTTTGCTTCCCAATGCCTGTCTGGTCCCTTATCAATATCTGCCTACTCGTTTCCAATTTTATTCTAGTCCTCCCATTAGAGAACGTCTTAAGTCACTTTCAGATGGGATTGTCCTCAAAACACCAGGAGAATTCATGCAACAATTATAGTCAACCAGCAAACCAAATTAGCAACGTTGTGCACAAGAAATAAAACCAAAACTGAAGTACAGGGAGTCCTCAGTTAACAACTGCTCTGTTTAGTGACCATTCAAACTTAACGATCATGCTGAAACAGTAGCTGTACAACCAGTCCTTGAACTTACGACTGTTGTAACATCCTTATGTCATGTGACCAAAATTCAGGCACTTCACAATTGCCGCTTCATATTTGTGATGGTCACAGCATCCTGTGGTTACATCGTCACTATTTGCAACCTTCAAGGCTGTCTCCTGACAAACAAAGTCATTGTGGAAGTCAGGCAGAAAGTCCCAAGTGGCGGTCTAATGATGTTAAAGGATTCGCTTAACAACTGTATCAGAACTGGTGTTATAAGTTGAGCACGGTTGCATGATGTCTCCCTTAAGGATTGAATTGTTTGATGATGGAGTTGCTCGCCCCAGTTGCAGTCATTGTGTGAGGATGACCTGTAGCCGAAAATAGCCAATAAACCTAAAAATATCCTGTGCAAATGTCTTTATTTTGTAGGTCAGGATTATAGATTTCCTTTCAGTGATTCTGCGGTAGTTATGGGGGGGGGTGTTACCTTGTAATCTGATAAATCTGCCGGAAGCAATGTTTCGTTGTGCCTCTGGTTGGGAGTACTGGCGGAATTAGCCACCCAGCTCAGTTGCCCCATCATCAAAATGGGGGAGAGATCAGTATCTAGAGGACAGAAACAGCTATTTTACCTCTATTAATTCCCACCACACCCATACACCTGTGGTGGGTTTCAATTTTTTTTAGAACCTCTTCTGTAGGTGTGGCCTGCTTTGTGGGAGTGGCTTGCCAGCCAGGGGACCGGGGGGGAGGGGGCAACTTGTAAAATGTGGTGAAACTCACTTAACAATGCTCTTGCTTAGCAACCAAAATGTTGGCTCAGAAACTCTGGCATTGAAGTGTGCAAGTCTTAAAGCCTGTACCCCTAACCCTTTAGAAAAACCCCCAGGGATGTTCTAACTTGACAGCTTTAAGACTTTAAGGTTTAGATAGGACTCTTAGAGGCAGGCGGGGTGATTGGTGAGCCAGCCAATCAGGGAGCGGCGGGCGGGTCAAGCGTGGTGCGCACGGGTGGGGGGACGGAGCTGGAACCAGTTCTAAATGGCACGGTAGATTTGTGGAACCTATTCTATAGAAGAGATTAGAACTGGCAGGAACCCATCCCTGACATGGTTCACCGACAAAAGGGCGACCGACAAAAGCACTAAACCGCGGTGACAAAACCGCGAGTTCTGAACCACGCCAATGAATGAGTGCTGAATCGCGCCGACAGAAGGGCGCTGTAAACCTAAACCTAACCCTAAACGTAACGTTAACCCTAACCCTAAACGTAACACTAACCCTAACCCTAACCCTAAACGTAATGCTAACCCTAATCCTAAACCTAACCCTAAACCTAACCCTAAACCTAACCCTTACCTTAACTTAAATCGCCCTTCTGTTAACGCGCTGTTGTATATCGCCCTTCTGTCGACGCGCTGTTGTCGGCGCGTTGATGACGTCGCGGTTTTAACGACACGGTTTTGTCGGTGTGCTTTTGTCGTGCGCGCTTTTGTTGGGTCACGCCCTGACACACACTCATCATTAAAGCAGTCTCAGGGGATGGGAGTTTTTCTGTGCTCCACTTTCAAAGTGCGCTTTTCCTTGTTGCGTTGTTTTGAATGCCCCAGGCTTCAGCCCTTCAATTGGTTACAAGTTAACCCCAACAGTTCATTCTCTATTTTGCAGCAGAGTACCCCTCAAAATGCACACGCACACACACAAACAACACACACTTTAATTAAACGAGTGCTTTCCATGCTCCATAGACCACTTTCATGGCAACCTTTTGCTATTATACACATTATAATGAATGCCAGCAGTAATGGTTGCTGTAAGGGTTAGGGTTTCCTAAACAGTGAGATGTACCTCCCCTCTGGGAGGAGGTTTCAGAGTATTTCTAGCAGGAATTCTGCCAGATTCTGTAACCGCTTTGTTCCCTATTCCATCCGTCTGGTAAACTCTCAGGATTCTTTTTTCTTACCATGTACATGCATAGACTAGACTAGACTGTGTTGTTTCCCTGTGTCATGTGAGTATGTGGGTATATGCATATTTGTTTGTTTGTTTGTTTGTCATGTTTATGTAGTGTATATTGGAGGTGGTAAAAAAAAGGTGGTGACCCTTTGAGAGTTGTATGCAACTAAATTTCATTTTAATGTATGCCGATTAGTGTACATTTAAAACAGTGGTGGGATACGACCCGTACACACCGGTATGGGTGTACCGGTGCCTGATGGGAGCACCAGTTATTGTTCTGGTATGGTGCTCCAGAGGGCTCACCTGCCCGCCCGTTCTCATTACTGGTATTTGAGCCAATTGGGGCTTCCGCACATGCGCACGGAGCGTACAACGCCTGTGCAACGTTCCGCCAAGCAGCTGGAGCATCACGGAGCATTGCAGGCAGTAAGTACGCATGCGCTGCTGCGCGCATACCTGTGGTAGACCCCTGGCCCTGTTGCATCGTACCGGTTGCACCGGGATCTTGAACCCACCACTGATTTAAAGTGACAATAAAGCTTTTCTATTCTATTCTATTCTATTCTATTCTATTCTATTCTATTCTATTCTATTCTATTCTATTCTATTCCGGAATAGAAATGACAATCATTAGCTTCCTAAGAGTCACTTGCAAATTCTGAAGCAGGATTTTCTTTTCGTTGTTGTATAATCAGGATAATTTCCATGGAAGAATTGAATTTATCAACTGTAAGTTCACATATCCATCTCGTTCTGATACCCAAGTGCTAAATGGCCTCTCGGTGTCTGTGAATTCCGGGCAGACCCTTGCCTTCGTTGGAAGCAGCGGATGTGGGAAAAGCACCTGTGTTCAACTTCTGGAGAGGTTTTATGATCCTGATGAAGGAGAAGTGGTAAATAGCCTTTGTTGCTTTGATGACATAAAAGTACTAATAACTGAATACGCAATTCAGTCGTCATATATCAGCTGTACGTTCCATGACCTAGACTGGTGCTTCTCAACCTTGACAACATTTAAGACCCGTGGACTTCAACTCCCAGAATTCCCCAGCTGTCCACAGGTCTTAAAAGTTGCCAAAGTTTAAAAACATGACTGCAGATTAACAATGCCTCTTTTTTTAAAAAAGGCTATTTGAAATCCTTCTAATAATCCTTTTAATTCCTTATAAATACACATTCCCATCAATCAATTTCTCAGTGCAGTTTCCTTTGCAATAATAAAGATGTGCAAATTAATTTATATATAACTAAACACATTACCCATTTCATATAGATGCCTGTTTCATTTTTAGGGACTCTGGGCAGCTTACAGTAAAAGAAATGAAATACATAAAATACACTGTGTAAAAAGCAAATAAAAATAAAACATGTAGTAAGCAGGTATAAAAATAAATGAAGAAAAGAACACTATGTATGTTCACCCCTTATAAAGTTACTTATAAAATAATAAAGGCATGATAAAAGTTAAGTCAATCAAAAAATAAAACCAACAGGGGTGGGCTTCAAAAATTGCAGCAACGGGTTCGCTGCCCCATTGCTGGGTGGGCGTGGCCATGGTTGGCGTGGCCTTGTTGGCCTCCTGCACCACAGCAGTGGGGAGGGGCACTTTTCTCCATCTCCAGGCTCTGGAGGCTCCTTGAGCCTCCGGGAGGGCGAAAACTCTTCCCCTGGGCTCCAGAGGCCCTCTGGAGCCAGAACAGGCCTGTTTCTGGACTTCCAGAACCTACGGAAGGCCCTTTCCCCCACTCCTTGGGCCTCTGCGTGGGCCCTGCACTTATCTGGCATGATGAACAGGCCATATGGAGACTCCTGGGAGGGGTGGCATGGGAGGGGAGCAGCAAGGTGGGTGGGAGGGACCAGCCAGGAGTGTGATTTGGGGGTTCACCAAACCGTCCATAATTTTTGCTAGAGGATTGCCCAAACCCGTGTGAACCCCCAGCAGCCCATCCCTGAGAACCAATCACCCACATAACCAAGTCTATGTTGTGCCCAAGGCCCCAGACTCGGGCACAAAGCTACGTGGTTTTTTTTAGGGTCTTACAAAAAGCCAACAGGGATAAGACCAAACTAATCTCTCTCTTTCTGGGTCCTGCCAGCCAACACTCTCTAGCACATGGTACCCAGAGTATGTTCTTTGTGCCAGATTTGGTGGAAGCAGTTGGGGAGAGATGGTCCTATAAATAACCTAGTCTTTTTGGGGGGGGTTGCTTTGATTTTTTAAACTTCTCATTGTACAATCCTGATATTTCCCAATGACTTTCCATCCAAGCACTAAATAGATCTAATCTAGTTTAACTCTTTGAAGATCAGGTAGGCTGGCCGAGGATTGCCGTGGGATGATAGATTGCATAGAATAGATTTCACTATTAAAATATTTGGTTTTGCTTCTCCCACATAGATCATGTAGGTAAATTCAGCAGAGACCAGTGGTGGGTTGCAGTGTACTGGAGCCTGCCCAGAGCACTGGATACCATTCCGGTACAGTGCTCTGGAGGGCCCACCCACCTGCCCGAGCTCCTTACCAGTCTTTGAAGTCTTCGGCACATCCACGCACGGCATGTACTGCGTCTGCGTGATGCTCCGCTGAGCAGCTGGAGTGTCGCAGAGGCTCATGGAGGGACTAAGATGCATGTGCGTGCACTATGTACCGGTTGGAACGGGATCCGGAACCCACCACTGGTGGAGACCTTCAAATATCTTTAATAACCAGAATTAGACATGGGTGTCCACAGGGGGCAAATGCCAAAACAAGTGTCGTGTGCATGCATGGTTGTGCCACATCATTCATTTTATCGTTGTGACAAAAACCCTGAGATTCTGCAGGACTCTTAGCTTGCAAATGTATTTTTTACGGATGAACAACCATGTGATTCCTCACACACATTGTGGTGCTTAAATTGCACACATGTCAGCAAATACAAGCAAAGGTTTGAAAAAGAAATCTTAATTTTGTAACCAAAGATGTTTTGTGTGTTTTGTGTTTTCGATGTACAGCTGATAGATGGCCGTGACACCCGGCAAGTAAACATCCACTATCTTAGATCTAAAATAGGAATAGTTTCTCAGGAGCCTGTGCTGTTTGACTGTAGCATTGCCGACAACATTAAATACGGTGATAACAGCAGAGAAATATCTATGGATGAAGTGATAACAGCTGCCAAGAAAGCCCAATTGCACGAATTTGTGATGTCACTCCCCCAGGTAAGTGCCATTTTTAAAACCCTATGTTATAGAAAGAAGAACTGGTATGAACATTCTCTCCACTGTTGATTTAACATATTGCTCGGTGGCTAAGACGCTGAGTTTGTCAATCAGAAAGTTCGGCACTTCGGCGGTTCGAATCCCTAGCGCCGCATAACGGAGTGAGCTTCCGTTACTTGTCCCAGCTTCTGCCAACCTAGCAGTTTGAAAGCATGTAAAAATGCAAGTAGAAAAATAGGAAACACCTTTGGTGGGAAGGTAACAGTGTTCCATGCGCCTTTGGCGTTCAGTCACGCAGGCCACATGACCACGGAGAGGTCTGAAGAAGAAGAGTGTTGGCTCTTTGGCTTTGAAACGGAGGTGAGCACCGCCCTCTAGAGTCAGGAACGACAAGCACACATGTGCAAGGGGAACCTTTACCTTTATTTTATTTTGTTTGCTAGAAAACGGAGAGTAGTTCGCCCTCGGCTTTCATTCCTTCTATTGTGAATTGTTTGACTTTCTCACCTATAGATCTATATCTATGATAACCTAATTCAGGAGTCCCCAATCCCCAGTCTATGGACCGGCACTGGGCTACCGCATGTCAGAAACTGGGCCACACAAACAAGTGTATTTGCAGGATACAGAAAGAACATGAAACCATGCCCCCTCCAGTTCGCAGAAAAACCTCTCTCCACGGAAGTAGTCCATTGGTGTCCAAAAGGTTGGGGACCACTGGCCTAATTTACTGTCCCAGTTAGAGTTGCTCACTTCTTTAGAATCCTGGAATCCCCTTGAGAATATCTGCAGCATTTCTCTTGCTTGTTTCTTAATTGACTAATCGCTACTGGAAAGATGACCAAAAATCCAGCCACTGAATCACAAGTTCCAAAAATGTGTTCTCAGAACTATGAATTGAATTGTTACATTCCAACTGCATGCCTTAATCATCATGTCTTTTGAAGTGTGTTCATGAAGAATAGGAAGCCACGCTCTTAGCTTAATCTCTCAAGGGGTTGTTGTGAGGATAACATGGGAACCAAAATTCTGTCTCCTGCCTGTTGTGATTGGCGGGATAAAAATATCTTGTTAATAAAGCAAAGGAGCCCTTTAGCTGACCAGAATTTAAAGCTATGTGCCTTTTAATGGTTTCCCACTGAAGAATTAATCGGGACAAACTTTGGACCTCAGTTAAGGCCATGTTGTGAACTTCATGATCTATCTTCAGCCCTGGGGTCTCCGGGTGGTCTCCCATCCAAGCAGTAACCAGGCCTGATTTGCTTCACTGTTCCCAAGATCAGCTAACTGGTGTCACTTGCTGTGACTATAGAATCTCTGTGACTGTAGAATCTTTTGGATAACATTTACCCTGGTTAAGCCAAAGCTCATTCTATCTAATAAGTCCATTCATTTTCTTTAAAAAAAATCACTCAGTGACTTTTCATGGCTTACTTATAAAGCATTCCGCTAAAAATACCCAGTTTCAATAGAAAAAATCAACACAGAATTATAGTAATAATAAAACACGGTCTTTTTTCAGTTTGCTTCTTAATTGAAGGTTGCTCTGCCCATTAAAAAAGGGGACGCGGTGGCTCAGTGGCTAAAACGCTGAGCTTGTCAATCATAAGGTAGGCAGTTCAGCAGTTTGAATCCCTAGTGCTGCATAACGGAATGAGCTCTCGTTACTTGTCCCAGCTTCTGCCAACCTACCTGTTCAAAAATACGTAAAACATGCAAGTAGAAAAATAGGAACCACTTTGGTGGAAAGGTAACAGCGCTCCGTGCACCTTCAATGTTGAGTCGTGCCGGCCACATGACCACGGAGACATCTTCGGACAGTGCTGGCTCTTCAGCTTAGAAATGGAGATGAGCACTGCCCGTAGAGCTGGAAATGACTAGCACAGATGTGTGGGGGAAACTTTATCTTTACCTGCCCATAAAATAAAAGAATGTTAGAATAAAAGCGATGAAGTAGCTTCATTTTCTCACCCTCCCTAATTGTATTTTTGTTCTTATGGTAAACAAAATCAGCGAGCCAATAAATATTGGGGGTGGTGGTGTTGTTTTTTGCAGCAATATGAAACCAATGTTGGGTCTCAGGGGTCCCTACTGTCTCGAGGGCAAAAGCAGCGCATTGCCATTGCACGAGCCATCGTTCGAGATCCTAAGATCTTGTTACTGGATGAAGCAACGTCTGCACTGGATACAGAAAGTGAACAGGTAAATTAACCTTGAGAAAGAAATGCTGAATATCAAGAGGCAAAAACAATTCCCTTTTATTATGTTATTCATTTATAGTTGTTTACGCCCACAAAGCCACGCCCACAGAACTGGTAGTAAAAAATTTGAATCTCACCACTGGACTAGAACTCACGGTCTCCTGGTTTTTAGGCCAGCACTTCTATTCAGTACTATACCAAACGGGCTCTAAAATAATATTACTGTGTTTCCCTGAAATTACAACATGTCCTGATAATAAGGCCATGCCACATTTTTCTGATGGGCAAAAATATAAGCCCTCCCCCGCAAATAAGCCCCCTGGACAACCCCCCCACCTCTGGCCAGGCAGAGTGCCGCTCACCAACCTAGCGGTATCCCGAAGGTGCCAAGCCGTGGGAACCTGGGGGGGGGAGGCAAAAGTGATCACGTTGCTTAGCACCTTCGGGATACTGCTAGGTTGGTGAGCAGCTCTGTGCCCAACTGAAGAGGGGGGTTGCTGGCCGGCTGCTCTCTTGCGAGCAGGCTGCCTCGTGGGCAAATGGCTGTGTTGTGCTGTCGCAGCAGTGCAACACAGCAGCCATGAAATGACCACACTCATGAGTCACCTGACAAACACCCTTTCTAGCTGGACACAGCGCCATTCACTGACCTAAGGGAGACAATTAGTTCATTCCTGCATTCTTGCCAAGTATTGTGGCATCTGTAAGATGTCGGCTTGGCCACTCTCGAAGCCTGACAAAGGTTGGTAATTGTGAACTAGCAATAGCAATAGCAGTAGACTTATATACCGCTTCATAGGCCTTCAGGCCTCTCTAAGCGGTTTACAGAGAGTCAGCATATTGCCCCCAACAATCTGGGTCCTCATTTTACCCACCTCGGAAGGATGGAAGGCTGAGTCAACCCTGAACTAACTTGTAGGCTGGAACTTTGCTGGAGAGGAATTCACTGTACATTAAATAAAAGGGGTTTATTGGAATGAAGACTCAGCTTCGTGCTGCTGGGGAAGCCTAGGTCAGCACAACAACTAAATTGAGTTGATGAACGCCTTTCCCAAAACAAAGTGACCTAGACAGACCAATTGGCTGTGTTCATATTCATATAACCCTGTCGTGATGACCATGTCATGACTCCTGCTCTTTCTCTTTTTCCACTTTCCCCTTCAGACTGTGCAGGCTGCCCTGGACAAAGCTCGAGAAGGCAGGACCTGCATCGTCATCGCGCACCGCTTGTCCACCATTCAGAATTCGGACATCATCGCTGTCATGTCTCAGGGAGTCATCATTGAGAAGGGCACTCATGAAGAACTGATGGCCCGGGAAGGGGCGTACTATAAACTGGTCACCACGGGGGCACCCATTAGCTGAGCTTCTGCACTCCCTGGGGGAGGGGGGGGTTGTGTTCATTTTCTTAAGGGACGTGCTAAAACCATTATGAACGTATCAACCAGCAAAAGACGGCTGTGCTGTGATATGGAATGATGCACCTCTGTGGGCACAACCACTTTAATTGAGAAAGTGAAGCCCCGGAGGCTGGCTTTGACTGAGCTGTCCTCTCTCAAACCACTGCAACTGTTGTCAAGAAAATGGCAGCCATCTTCTGGAGAAGTGAGATTACACATGAAGAAGGCTCAGGAAACTTTTCAATAATGAAGTGCCCATAGATTATTTTTATATCTATTTCCATTGCTCCCGAATTTGCAATACCAAAGAAGCCTAATGAACTTCGTTGTGGATCCAGAGGGAGGCTTCATTCAACATTCAGTGCAAATGGTGGTGGCATTGAGCTGTATTTCCTTACTGCTCCATCATCATCATCATCATCATCATCATCATCATCATCATCATCATCATCATCGCGCCCTCAATGATTCTGGTTGGTTCCCAACAGCCAAAGAAATGACAATGAAATCAATAGGATTTTATTGGGGATTTATATGCCGCCCTTTTCCCTGAGGGGACTCAGGGCGGCTTACAACAATA